CTAAGGTCTAAGGTCTAAGGTCTAAGGTCTAAGGTCTAAGGTCTAAGGTCTAAGGTCTAAGGTCTAAGGTCTAAGGTCTAAGGTCTAAGGTCTAAGCACTAAGCTCTAAGCTCTGAGCTCTGAGCTCTAAGCTCTAAGCTCTAAGCTCTAAGCTCTATGCTCTAAGCTCTAAGCTCCAAGCTCAAATCTCAAAGCTCGCAAGCTCGCAGGTCCAAAGCTCAAAAGCTCAAAAGCTCGCAAAGCTCAAAAGCTTAAAAGCTCGCAAAGCTCAAAGTTCGCAAGCTCGATGCGCATTTTTCTGAGATTTAGAACATTAACGTCGGCACCGAGTTAATAGACCGCTTCACCTCGTTGATAAGATTTCCAAACGTTTCTCCATTTTCGTAAAATTTTAAGTCGTCGCGTCATCGTTCGGACAGCGTCCCTTTCGTTCGATACCCGCCGGGTGGTTGGCTCGCGCAATTTCGTGGATCGACGAGGACCGTAAATGTCTCGTGACGCGATTACGTGGGTCACGGGGTCCGAAAAAAGCGTGCTGGTAACGGAGCACGGCCGCTGCCTGGGCGCAGCGACACGCGGCGCGTCGTTAAGGCGCGTCCCTTCTGATCAATTCGATACCGGCGGAACGTCGTTATCGCGAATGGATAAAGACAAAAGGGGAAAAAGAGGGTAATGGGGACGGGGGCGGCGGCAGCGAAAGGGAATAACAGAGGGGCGGGGTGAGGATAAAAGGAAGGCGCGTCCGTGCGCTAACAATGCCTCGAATGCATGCCGATAGAGGGAAAGGAGAATGGAAACAAAAAGACGAGCGGCCCGGCGACGATAAGGGGTTCGCGAGAGGTCCTCGCTGCCCTTGCGCTCATATTACTTCGTTAAAGTACTAAGGTGGCCGGCGATAAGGGGAGTCTATTCTTTCACGAGCGTGAAGATGTCCTTCACTGATAACAGACCTTCAGTCAACCCCTTTTCAACGCGCCTATGTCATCAAACTTTTACCGTCTATAAACTTCCTTTTCGAGTTTCTCAATGAAACTTCTTTTTTCCTATGCACAAGTTTTTTTTTACGCGAATTCCTGAAAGCGAAGTAAGCAAGGTACAGTAAAGCGTGTATAATCGACGCTCAATTTGGAAACAAAAGTAGACAATTTGAGAAGAGAAGGTACGATTATTCGAGCTAATTGTTATCGATTGATTAATTTAGTGTCCCAAAATTATTGTACAAGCGAGAAATGAAGGGTTCCTGAGGTTATTCGAAGCAACTTTTTCCTTTGCGAAAATGCAATCCGCGGCTTCGTTTACGAGTTATTAACGAAAAACAGTGACCAATCGGAGAGCGAGCGTGACCGGCGCTCCGCCCTCGCGGCCAATGTCGCGTCGCGACGGCTGTCTGACGCAGCGGCAGTGGTCGCGAGGGCGGAGCGTCAGCCATGCGCGATCTCTCATTGGTTACTGTTTTTCGTTAATAACTCGTAAACGAAGCCGCGGATCGCATTTTCGCTAAGGAAAAAGTTACTCCAAATGACCTTAGGAACCTCTCATTCCTCGCTTGTTCAATTTTAAAGGACAGAATAACATCTATACTCAATAAGTTATTACTAGAAATTTTCACGAGTCGAACTCGTCAAAGTACGACAAAAGCGATTAATATATTCTTATTATTATTATTCAATTAATTATATTTACTTATTAATTGGGTTTCAATCTATTTTCACGGTGTTGTACACCAGACATTTTTACAAGCATGACTTCCGGAAGTCTGAATTTGCAAGTCAGTTGTTTCCAATCGGTTATACCAACGTGATAAATTATTACCCGCACCGTTGCATGCACAAGTCGCGTTAACAATTTGACTGCCACGCTAACAACCTCGAGGAATTCATAAATTTAAAGCAATCCGTTTGAACAAATTCAAATTGAAACGTCCAGTCGTACGATATCAATTACTTCTTCAACATTCTTATGCTAATCGCGTTAACAATTTGACTGCCTCGCCAACAACCTCGAAGAATTCTCAAATTTAAAACGTGTTCTGTTGGAGCAAATTCAAATTAAAACGTTCAGTCGTACGATATCAATTACTTCTTCAACATTCTTATGCTTTGCGTTTCGTTCTAGATCCACGCAGATTTAACTCTTTCACGGGCACAATATGATGGAAATATTTGAGCCCGGTGTGTCCATACGCGCACTAAAAATGGGTGGGAAGCTAAAACTGAAAAAATCAGGGAAATTAGAAGTCAACTTTATGGGCGAACGCGGCGATCGAACTATTAAATGTGAAAATATGCGACTTTATAGTTTGCGGTACAGATTACCGGCTAATCGGCGCGAGTGCCCAGTGATTTTCGTGTAACGTAATTTCACGGCAACGTCATTTGCATCGGGTGAATATGCACGAGCTGCTCTGCCGTGTGACGACGCCGCTACAAAATCGGTAACAATGTGATTGGAAAAGTTATTACCGGCTCGAACGAAGTGCCCCGAACAAAACGACGAGTGGAGGCGGGATTGATTTTCGGGATGTTTCGCGTGTCGAAGTTCTTACGTGACGTCGCCACGAGGCGCCGAAGCAGCGGTAACGACTGGGATAGATACTCGAAGTTCGCACGGTACTACCGGGGACCCGGTAATTTCCGGCGGATCGCGGCAACTGCTAATTACCGTTGGCATTGCGCGTTGCGATTACTTCACTCGGCGGTCTCACGAATCGTCGTGCACTTGATCGAGGGTCGAGCTGAGCCGGCGTGGCGTACCCCTTTCGCTCGACATCCCGTTCCCTTAACATCGCGCACCCGTTATCGGGTTGCAGAAAATTCCAACATTATTTTTACCGACACGAAAATCCTTCGACGCGATACCCGGATCGCGAAAGAACGAGCGTGCGATAGATTGAATGAAATTGTAACGGTGCACCCAGTAATTTCAGGCTACGTTCCTTTGCGAAACAAATAATCGTGGAGAGACACGTTCAATTGCGTCAAACTTTGCGGGAAATATATTAACGATGTGCAATTTTATTTTTAATATACGGAGAATGTTTCATAGTTTTATTATACAAAGTGTTCCAAAAATGTCTCGCTATACGGAAATGGGAGGTTCCTGGAGACATTTGAAGTAACTTTTTCCTTTGCGAAAATGCGATCCGAGGCTTCGTTTACGAGTTATTAACGAATGAATACTGACCAATGAGAGGCGAGGGACTGGGCTCGGTGCGCTCGTTGGCTGGGCCGCCGCGCGCCAGCCGAGCCAATGAGCAGGACTGGGCTCCGTGCGCTCGTTGGCTGGGCCGCCGCGCGCCAGCCTCACTGGTCTCTCATTGGTCAGTATTTATTCGTTAATAACTCGTAAACGAAGCCTCAGATAGCATTTTCGCAAAGGAAAAAGTTGCTTCAAATGACCTCAGGAATCTCCCATTTCCGAGTTATTTTTGAGACACCCTGTTTAGGTACTTTGTGCGTCTATATTTTATATCATGTTCACTTCTCTACTTTTGCAGATAATAATTGAATTAAAAATTATAACACCGTTAAAAGAATAAATTGAATCGTGTAAATTTAACCGTACATCCTTGCAAAACCGTGTTTGTAATGAAACAATAAATATAGATAATTTCGACCGTCTAAGTCGACGAAGTATCTCATCGTGCGACGTTCAAACTACGCGCTATCGTCGAACTGTGTGGGCTTAATGCGTGGTTGGCTCGGTTCAGCGGCCGGCTCACTTTGGAACGAAGAGTTTTCGTAATTGAATATCGCCGGAAAAAGGAATCCGATTCCCCTTTTTGTCGGAACTTGTTGCATGTTCCATGCAAAAGGGAATCGAAGATTTTACGGTATCCAAACCGGGAAATTGAACCAGTTTTTTTTCACGTATACGGTGAGCCACGAGAATAATCGGGCGCCTTTTAATATGAAACAACATTGAACGGAACGATTTCACTCCTTTTTAAGATGTTGGAAGAATTTAGTTTACGCGACGCTGTCGAAAAAATTGTTTCCAGCAATTACAGCAAGCTGCAGTAATACTATGCTCACGTTTTTAAAGTTTTCAACCTTTTCACAAGCACCGAGAACTAAGCTTTCCACCGACTTTCAGCGCGCACATGGCGCTCCAGGCTCAAATATTCGCACCGTTGAGATGTGTGCCGTCATCTTGAAAATTCATTAAAATCTGCGAGACATTTTTGGGACAACCTCTATACCTATACAGCTTGATTCGACAAGAAGCATAT